GGTGAGCATTGCTAGGAGGATTGAGGGTATGCATGCTAGAGAGAGAGAGGAGAGGGAGGCCAAAAGGTCTCGAGAGTCGGGCCATTATTCTGGTGCTTGTACCCCAGCTGCAGGTCGTCATGGTAGGGGTTATATTAGTCTCTCTATTCATTCAGCTCTTCCAATAGCCAATAGTGCTCCAGCTCCTCCTAGGCCTCAGGGGCCTTATTATGCACCTCCGGTTTCTAGCGCGCCTCCTATGCGGGGTGCTTTCAGAGGTCAGTCCAGCAGACCTGGCCCTAGCCATTCACAGCCATCACGTCCTCCCATGGCTTGTTTTGAGTGTGGTGACACATGCCACGTGGTGAGGGATTGCCCTAGGCTTGGGAGGAGTGCACCTTAACAAACTTCTCAGCCACAGCGTGCCCTGCAGAGTTCTCAGGCTATGATTATAGCTCTAATTACTACCCTACCTGCTCAGCCAGCTAGAGGTAGAGGTCGCCCTATAGGGAGAGGCCAGGCCAGATACTATGCCCTTCCTACCTATACCGAGGTTGTCGCCTCTGATTCTATCATCATAAGTATTATATTGATTTGCCATAGAGATGTATCGGTTCTATTCGATCTAGGCTCTACTTACTCTTACGTGTCTTCTTATTTTGCTTCGCATTTGGGTGTATCTCAGGAATCTTTGAGTTCCTGTGTTTATGTTTCTACTCCTGTGGGAGATTCTCTTGTTGTGGACCGCGTTTATCGGTCGTGTTTGGTTGCTCATAGTGGTTTTAAGACCAGAGCTGATTTATTGTTACTCAATATGGTTGACTTCAATATTATCTTGGGCATGGACTGGTTGTCGCCCCATTATGCTATTCTTGATTGTCATGCCAAAACCGTGATGCTGGTTATGCCAGGTATACCACGTGTTGAGTGGAGGGGTACTTTAGATCATATTCCTAGTAGAGTTATTTCTTTTCTTAAAGCTCAGCATATGGTTGAGAAGGGGTGTGACACGTATTTAGCTTATGTGATAGATGTTAGTATTGATACCCCTTCAGTTGATTCAAATCCAGTAGTACAGGATTTTCCCGATATGTTTCTAGTTGATCTTCCAGGTATGTCGTCTGATAGAGATATATATTTTGGTATTGATCTGTTGTCGGGCACTCAACCCATTTCTATTCCTCTGTATCGTATGGCTCCTCCTGAGTTGAAGGAGTTGAAGAATCAGTTACAAGAATTGCTTGATAAGGGTTTTATTCGGCCCAGTGTATCACCTTGGGGTGCTCCTGTCTTGTTTGTGAAGAAAAATGATGGTTTTATGCGTCTGTGTATTGATTATTTCTAGTTGAACAAGGTTACAGTGAAGAACCATTATCCTTTGCCTCGTATTGATGATCTGTTTGACCAGCTTCAGGGTGCACGGGTGTTTTTTAAGATTGACTTGCACTCAAGTTACCATCAGTTGAAGATTCGGGAGCCAGATATCCCGAAAACTGCTTTTAGGACTCGGTATGGCCATTACGAGTTCCTTGTTATGTCATTTGGGCTGACGAATGCCCCAGCAGTCTTTATGTATTTGATGCACAGTGTGTTCCAACCGTATCTTGACTCATTCATCATTGTCTTTATTGATGATATTCTGGTGTATTCCTGGAGTCGAGAAGATCATGAGCAGCACCTGAGGACTGTGCTTCAGACTCTAAGAGAGAAGAAGTTATATGCTAAGTTCTCGAAATATGAGTTTGGTTGGATTTAGTGGCATTCTTAGGCCACGTGGTATCGAGTGAGGGTATTCAGGTGGATTCGAAGAAGATAGAGGCCATGTAGAGTTGGCCCAAACCATCCTCAGCTATAGAGATCCGCAGTTTCCTTGGTTTGGCAGGCTACTACCGTCGTTTTGTGGAGAGGTTTTCATCGATTGCATCCCCTATGACCAGGTTGACCCAGAAAGATGCTCCATTTCAGTGGACTGAGGAGTGTGAGGCGAGCTTCCAAAAGCTCAAGACAGCTTTGACCATAGCCCCAGTTTTGATATTGCCTACAGGTTCGGGGTCTTATACGGTCTATTATGATGCCTCGAGGGTTGGCCTCAGAGCGGTGTTGATGCAGGATGGTAGGGTGATTGCCAACACGTCCAGATAGTTGAAGATTCATGAGAAGAACTACCCTATTCACGACCTTGAGTTAGCTGTCATTGTTCATGTCTTGAAGACCTGGCGCCATTATTTATACGGGGTTCCCTATGAGATTTATACTGACCATCAGAGCTTGCAGCACTTGTTCAAGCAAAAGGATCTAAATTTGCGCCAGAAGAGGTGGTTAGAGTTGCTGAAGGATTATGACATCACTATATTTTATCACCCGGGCAATGCCAATGTAGTGGCTGATGCCTTGAGTTGCCGGGCGGAGAGTTTAGGGAGTTTGGCTTATTTACCAGAATCAAAGAGGCCTATGGCAATGGATGTTTAGGCCTTAGCCAGCCAGTTTGTGAGATTGGATCTTTCAGAGCCCAGTCGGGTTCTAGCTTGCGTGGTTTCTCGGTCTTCCTTATTTGATCGTATCAGGGAGTGGCAGTATGATGACCCTCATTTGCTTGACCTCAAGGACAAGGTTCAGCACGGTGATGCCAGATATGTGACTATTGGTGATGATGGGGTATTTAGGATGTAGGGTCGGATTTGTGTACCCAATGTTGATGGGTTTCGAGAGTTGATTCTGGAGGAGGCCCATAGCTCACGGTATTCCATCTATCCGGGTGCCACGAAGATGTATCAGGATTTGAGGCAGCACTATTGTTGGAGGTGGATGAAGAAAGATATAGTCGAGTTCATAGCTCGATGTCTCAACTGTCAGCAGGTGAAGTATGAGCACCAGAGACTGGGCGGGTTGCTTCAGCAGATAAAGATCCCGGAGTGGAAGTGGGAGCGTATCACCATGGACTTTGTAGTTAGGCTCCCACGGACTTTGAGAAAGTTCGATGCTATTTGGGTGATTGTGGATCGGCTGACAAAGTCTGCTCATTTTATTCCTATGTATACTACTTATTCTTTAGAGCGGTTAGCGGAGATTTATATCCGGGAGATTGTTCGTCTGCATGGTATTCCAGTGTCCATCATCTCAGATAGGGGTACTCAATTTACATCACGGTTCTGGAGGGCTGTCCAACATGAGTTGGGTATTCGAGTGGAGTTGAGTATAGTATTTCACCCTCAAACAGATGCACAGTCCGAGTGCACTATTCAGATTCTTGAGGATATGCTCTGTGCGTGTGTGATTGAGTTTGGAGGGTCTTGGGATCAGTTCTTGTCATTGGCGGAGTTTGCTTACAACAATAGCTATCAGTCCAACATTCAGATGGTACCGTATGAGGCTTTATATGGGAGACGGTGTAGACTCTTAGTGGGTTGGTTTGAGCCGGGTGAGGCTAGACTATTGGGCATGGACTTAGTTCAAGATGCTTTGGAGAAGATTAAGGTGATTCATAATAGACTCCGTACAGCCCAGTCCAGACAGAAGAGTTACGCGGACTGGAAGGTTCGTGATGTTTCCTATATGGTTAGAGAGCGGGTTCTTCTTCGGGTTTTGCTTATGAAGGGCGTTATGAGATTTAGGAAGAAAGGGAAGTTGAGTCCGAGGTTTATTGGCCCTTTTGAGATATTGAGGCGTGTTGGGGAGGTTGCTTATGAACTTGCCTTACCTCCCAGCTTGGCAGGAGTTCATCCGATATTTCATATTTCGATGCTCCGAAGGTATCACGGTGATCCATCGCACATGTAAGATTTCAGTTCAGTCCAATTGGACAAGGATCTATCCTATGTTGAGGAGCCAGTGGCAATATTAGATAGGCAGGTCAGAAAGCTGAGGTCAAAGAACATTGCATTAGTGAAGGTTCAATGGCGGGGTCAGCCGGTCGAGAAGGCGACCTGGGAGACTGAGCAGGATATGCGCAGCCGTTACCCTTATCATTTCACTACTTCAGGTATGTCTTTATGCTCGTTCGAGGACGAACGAATGTTTAAGTGTAGGGGGGATGTGACGACCCGGCTGGTCGTCTTAAGAATTAATGCCTCGATCCCATATTAACTGCTTTCCCGAGTCTATTTCTACTATTTTGATTTGCCGGGATGTTCGGTTTTAAGTTTCGGAGAGTTTTGGGACACTTAGTCCCAAAATGAGAGCTTAAGTGTTGGAAAGTTGACCGTAGTCAGAACAGTGTGAAGACAACCTCAGAATGGAAATCTGATGGTTCCATTAGCTCTGTTGGGTGATTTCAGGGTTAGGAGCGTGTTCAGATTGTGTTTTGGAGGTCCGTAGCTAATTTAGGCTTGAAATGCTGAAAGTTGAATTTTGGAAGTTTCCGGTTCGATAGTGAGATTTTGATCCGAGGGTCGGAATGGAATTCTGAGAGTTGTAGTAGTTCTGTTATTCATTTGGGATGTGGGTGCAAAATTTCTGGTCATTCGGACGAGGTTTGGTAGACTTTTTGATCGAAAGTGTGTTTTTAGAGTTTTTGGAATTTTTAAGCTTGAATCCGATGAAAAATAGGTGTTTTAATGTTGTTTTGAGCGTTCCGAAGGTTGGAACAAGTTTGAATGATGTTTTAGGATTGGTTGTCAAGTTTGGTTGAGGTCCCGGGGGCCTCGGGTGTGTTTCGAATGCTCAACGGGTCATTTTTGGAACTTAGGAAATTGCCGAAAATGTTGCAGCAGTCAGTTCTGGTTTCCTTCATCGCGTTCGCGAGTAGGTTCTCGCGTTCATGAAGAGGAGCTGGGACTGGGGGGTGTTTGGCCTTCGCATTCGTGAGAGGGACTACGCATTCTCAAAGTGGCTGGATGGTTGTGTTATGCGTTCGCGATTGGGCTTCGCATTTGCGGAAGAGGAATTGGCCCAGTGGAGTTTTGTGCATCGCGTTCGCGTGGTGCCCGTTGCATTCGCGAAGGTTCGTCTATGCAAAGAATCACGTTCGCGGAGTAGGGGACGCATTCGCGAAGAAGGAATAATGTTCAAAGTTATTTTGTGCTTCGCGAACGTGAGGCTTTGACCGCGTTCGCGAAGAAGGAATTTTCTGGGCAGATATAAGATTTCAAAATCGAGGGTTTAGTCATTTTTATCAATACTTAAGCTTGGGATCTTGGATTTGAGCGAGATTTTGAGAGCTTTTCAGAGGTATCTATTGGATAACGATTCTTAACACGTTTTTGCTTGTAACCCATTAATCTAAACATGAATTCATCCTATAATTTCGGAATTTGTATGAAAATTGGGGAAAAGTTCTTAGGCCAAGAAATTGAGTTTTGATTGGAGATTTGACATCGGATTTGGATAATTTTGGTATGGTTAGACTCGTGAGAGTGTGAGGTTTTTGAAACTATAAATTTCACCCGATTCCGAGATGTGGGTCTGAGGGGTGTTTTGGTCATTTTACATAATTTCGCGTATTACCTTAGAGTTTAAGTGTAGAATCAGTTACTTGAAGTGTTATTTACCTTATACAATTGAATTGAATAGATTTGGTCCATTTAGAGTTGAGTACTTATGGCAAAGACGTGGTGTTGGATTGATTTTAAGTCGGTTCAAGGCAAGTGGCTTGTCTAACCTTGTGTGGGGGACCTTTCCCTTAAGATATGATATATTTGATAATTGAAATGCCTTGTACGTGAGGTGACAAGTGCGTACTTGCGCTAATTGTTGAAAATCCGGTTTTACTTTAAGTATTTCAATTGAGTTCCTTTTTTCCTGTTTTATTCTACCTGCAAATTTAGCCTGTTGTAGTTTAGAAAAGCATGTTTAGTTGACTTAATTGCCTATTTGCTTAAACTAATTTAATTGCATTACGTGAAGCATGTTAGGCTAGAATTTAACAGTTTACTTGGTACAAAATTAGCCTTTAATTGAGTATTCTTGTGTTGCTTTTGTGTGTTTTAATTTGGGACTACGGGACGACATTCCGAGAGATCCCCTGTACGTATTTATAATCTGGAATGGGGTGCGGGATACCAAGAGATCCGTGGCATGTATATTGAGGATACCAAGAGATCCATAGCATATATTGAGGATACCAAGAGATCATTGGGATACCAAGAGATCCCTAGCATATATTGAGGATACCGAGAGATCTTCGGGATACCAAGAGATCCCTGGCATATATTGAGGTACTAAGAGATCCTCGGGATACTGAGAGATCCATGGTTACTTTCCTTGTGGTTGCCTTCATCTCTGTTTTCGTTATTGTACTCTTATTATCCTGTGTAGATTCTTACTGTAGATTTTCAATTGTACTACTTATCTTATCCTGTCATATTTATATTTATTTAATCTCAGTAGGGTCTTGACCTTCCTCGTCACTACCCAATCGAGGTTAGGCTTGGCACTTACTGAGTACCGATGTGGTGTACTCATGCCCCCTTCTGCGCTTGTTTTTCATGTGCAGATCCAGGTACCGCTGATCAGGCCTACTATCCTTGAGGGAGGCAACTACTTAGAGACTTCGAGGTACATCTGCTGTGTCCGCAGACCGATGAGTCCCTTTCTATTCCTGCCTTTTAGTATTTAGCCCTTTTGTACGTTCTGTTCTTATTAGACAAATTCCGGAGATAGAGCTATGTAGTATTTTCCTTTTCTTAGCTTGTGATTCGTGGGTTTCCGGGTCTTGGATTTAGATATTGGTTTTTGAGACTTATATATGGTGTATACCGAGTGGCACATTTAAACACTATTATTGTTTTATTTCTGTTTTTAAATTGTTTTACCTCCGCAAGTTTGGTTATCTTTCGCAATTTAGGCTTACCTAGTCGTAGAGACTAAGTGCCGTCATGATGGTTCACGGAGGGTAAACCGGGGTCGTGACATAACTTATATTAAAAAAAATACTTTTTATTTTTATTTTCATATTTTACTTAAATAAAATGAAAAGATTTAATTATTGCCTGTAATAACAAATTTTTGAGATTATTTATTTACTTATATTATTAAGTATATCTATTGATGTCCATATTTGTAATTTGATACTTAAAAGCACTTTCTACAAAGCTTGGTCAAACACAAATTATTGCTCAAAAGTGCTTATAAGAGTGATTAGCCAAACACAAACTGCTTCTCTCCAAAAGTACTTTTTTCAAAAGCACTTTTGAAAAAAACACTTCTCAAAATAAGTTGATTTCTCCAACTTGGCCAAACAAACTATTATATGTATCTTTCATACCTTTGTAATTTTTTTTCTGTTAATAAACACATTTTCTTAATTTTCTTATTTATCGAGGATTATAAAATATACGGAAAAGGGCCAAAACTACCCCTATCGTTTGCTAAATGGTTTATAAATACCCTCCGTCCATCTATCCATCCAAAAAAACATATGACGTTAATTCCATTAACAAAATTACCCCCGCGACTAACGGCAGAACTGGTAGGCCTACATTTAATGACGTGTCATTTTTCTACTGGGTCATGTGAAAATCTTTGACTGGAACAAAAATGGATACCATTTCGACCCACTTAGCTGACCCGACCCAATGGCTTCCCCATTTTTTCTGATCTTCTTCTTGATTTTCAAGATCTGACTAGAACAAAAATTCTGCCTATGAATTTATCTGGGATGACTTTAGGTTTTCAGTCTTAGACTATGAAGCTTCAGAAATACTCCTTAAAGCTGGATCAACTGAAACCATTGAAATGCCTGCAACAGAGGTAACTTTGAGAATGAAATCTTGGTTATATTGATATTTTGATCTTGCCTTTTTATTATATGATGGTGGCTCTGAATTTTTTGGCACTTAAAATTCTATTAAAGTTATGTCAGGTGGGAAGTACATTTATCTGGGATGTTACCATTGTGAGAGGGGAAGTGATCTATAAGGAGGAATTTGTGCTAGAGGAGGAGAACTCTTACACAATTATCCTTCAGAAGGAGAAGAAGTTGAGCTCACCAATTCGCAACACATTCAAGAATAATGAAGCTGGAAAAGTTGTGCTGACAATTAAGAACACTTCTAGCAAGAAGTAGAAGGCGTTTTACCGACACAAGATCAAGAAATCAACAATTTGATATCATAAATTTCTGTTTTGAGTGAAAATGAAGATGAAGTTTTATTTCAGTTTTTTTTCCCAACAATATAACTTTTTTTGTGGTTCATATACTTTATTATTCTTTTGGCCTTATATTCATATTGTGTATGTTGATTTATTCATTTTTCTCCCTATAAGAAACATGATCTTATTGGGAATAAACTCCATAAAATAATATTCACGGTATTAGTGATAAACGTGGAACACTAAGTTATGGTTAAATCAGATAGAATAGAAATGCAGCAATAATGACACCAAGATTTTACGTGGAAATCCTTCTGAATAAGGGGAAAAATTACGGCCAAGAAGAGCAACTAATATCACTATAGCGAGGAATTTTACATTGTGTAGTAACGAGTACAAATACTCCTAAGACCACTACACCCTCAAAAGAAAAAATACTCTTTTATTTTTTTTTCACCTCACTATAATATCTCTCACACTCTATTTTTCTTCACAAACTATTTTCTTATAGTATATGGAATACCTTGCTCTCTCACACCCAGATGTATTGTCTGAGATTTTGGTATATAGAAATGAGAGACGAAGCTTTCCTTTTATATGCGGAGCCTCTCTCTCTCATGCCTACTACATTTAATATTTTCTTTCTGCAGCCTACCCTTTTTGACAACGCAGAAGAAAAATATTTGCTGCCAATTTTGAACAATCAACAAAAGGAAGAAAGTCTTCTTTAATTGATGGGATGGACCCCACAAATCTCCCCCTCCAGTCCCATTGACCTGAAGGAGGTAACACCGGAGATTCTAGTTTGAGCGCATGCCAACAAATTCTTTGCAAAGCTCGAACTTGTCTCTTGGTACTATATTGGTTAGTATATCCGTAGGATTTTCACTCGTGTGAATCTTTTTGACCTGTAAAGATTCGTTCTCCACCTGCTCACGAATCCAATGATATCTCGCGTCTATATGTGTTGTTCTTACATGGTACATAGAGTTCTTGCTCAAGTCAATTGCACTTTGACTATCACAATAGACGATATGACTGTCATAATAGACGATATACTCCTTTTGATGCAATTCCAGTTCTTGAAGAAACTGCTTGAGCCATACCATTTCCTTGCCAGCTTCTAAAGCGGCAATGTACTCTGCTTCAATTGTTGAAAGTGCAACACACTTCTGCAACTTAGACTGCTATGATATAGCTTCCCCTAAAAATGTAAACAAATATCCAGTAGTGTATTTTCTCTTATCAATGTCACCTGCCATATCAGCATTTGTATAGCCTTTCAAGATTGGATCAGATCCTCCAAAGCACAAATAATCTCCTACAGTACCTCTTAGGTACCTGAGTACCCACTTGAATGCTTCCCAATGTTCCTTTTCGGGATTTTCAAGAAATCTTCTAAAAATACCTACTGCATGAGCAATATTTGGTCAAGTGCATGCCATTTCATACATCAAACTTCCAACGGCAGAGGAATAAGGAATCTTGGACACTCTCTCTTTTTCCTCCGTTGTTGTAGGACACATCTTCTTGCTCAACTTCAGATGACCAGGGAGGGGTATGTGGACCAACTTAGCACTTTTCATATAGAAGCGCTCTAGTACACATTCTATGTACTTGTCCTATGACAAGTAAAGCTTCCTTTCGTTTCTCGAATGAGTAATTCTCATGCCCAAAATCTGCCTAGCATGACCCAAGTCTTTCATTGCAAAAGACTTATTCAAATGTTTCTTCAACTCATCAATCTTGGAAGCATTTATGCCCACAATCAACATATTATCCACATATAGAAAGAGGATGATAAATTCATCATCAGAAAATCTTTGTACAAGCACACAGTGATCTGAAGAAGTCTTCTTGTAGCCTTGCTCCCCCATAATAGATTAAAACTTCTTGTACCACTGTCTGAGAGCTTGCTTCAATCCATATAGACTCTTCTTAAGTTTTCATACAAGATTTTCTTTACCTTTTGCCTTGAAGCCCTCAGGTTGTTCCATATAAATCTCCTCTTCTAAGTCACTATGAAGAAAAGCAGCCTTCATATCCATCTGCTCAGTCTCCAAATCAAGACTGTCAGTCAAACCAAGAACTGTCCGAATGGAGGACATTTTCACTGTAGGAGAAAATATTTCGTCAAAGTCAATACTTTCCTTTGACCAAATCCCTTGACAACCAATCTAACTTTGCATCTGGGCTTCAAACTATGTTCTTCAGCTTTAACTTTGAATACCCACTTATTTTTCAAAGCTCTCATACCCTTAGGCAATTTCACCAACTCATAAGTATGGTTCTCATGCAGAGATTTCATCTCATCTTGCATGGCTTCAATCCATTGATCCTTGTGCTCATCTTCTATGGCCTCTGCATAACATTCAGGTTCTCCCCCATCAGTGAGTAATACATACTCATTGGGCGAATAATGGGAGGAAGGAGTACGAGGTCTAGAAGACCTCCTGCGTGGAATATCTAACTCGTCCACAGCTTCGTGAGTAGGAGCATTTACCTCATCAGTATTAGCATTGTTATCATCATTACCATCAATATGATGATCTGGAATATAGTTCTGGGCATCACCATTATCATTGAGCCCACCAACGTCATCCGTGTTTGTATGAGGAATTTGATCAAGATTAACTAAACCTTCAGAACTTAGAGATTTTAGCTTCTCCGTTTTGTTAATATCTTCAATGGTTTGATTCTCCACGAAGTTAACATCATGGCTTCTCACGACCTTCTTCTTAATTGGATCATATAGCATGTAACCAAACTCATCAAAGCCATAACCAATGAAGATGCACTGCCTTGTCTTGGCAGTTAATTTTGACCTCTCATTTTTAGGTACATGTACAAAAGCTATGCAACCAAACACTTTCAAGTGGTCATAGGAAACATCTTTGTCATACCAAACTCTGTTTGGAATATTACTTTGCAAAGCAACCGCAGGGTATAGATTAATAACATGTGCGGAGGACAACAAAGCCTCACCCCAAAAGGAATTCGGCAACTTTGCTTCAGAAAGCAAACATCTGACTCTTTCCATCAAGGTCTTGTTCATCCTTTCTGCTAAACCATTAAGCTAAGGAGTCTTAGGAGGAGTCTTCTGGTGTCTGATACCCTATTTCTTGTAGTATTCATCAAACGGTCCACAATATTCACCATCGTTATCAGTACGAATACACTTCAGCTTCTTTCCAGTTTCTCTTTCAAATGAAGCCTGAAACTGCTTAAAGGCACCCAACACTTGATCTTTAGTTTTCAAGATGTAGACCCAAAGTTTCCTTGAGCAATCATCAATAAAAGTAGCAAAATAAAGTGCACCACCCAAAGTCCTTGTCTTCATTGGACCACATAGATCTAAATGCACCAACTCAAGCAACTCTGTCTTTCTTGAAGGAGGATAAGATTGGAAAGAAACTCTTTTTTGTTTTCCAGCCAAGCAGTGCTCACATTTTTCTAATCTTGCACTTTCAAAATTTGACAATAATTTCTTCTTGGCCAGAACATTTAGTCCTTTCTCGCTAATGTGGCTAAGCCTCTTATGCCATAAGGTTGAAAAGCTATTTCTCTCAACGACATTCACCATATCAACATAGGTGAAGGTCGTAGTCCAGTATAGACCACGACGTTTTTCCCCACGAGCCACAATCATGGAACCCTTAGTGAGCTTCCACTTTCCAGCACCATTGGTACTGACATATCCCTCATCATCCAAAACACCAACAGAGATTAAGTGCAAACGAACATCAGGTGCATACTTTACATTATTTAAAACTAGTTTAGTTCCAATACTAGTTTCCAAACTAATCATTCCAACATCAGCCACCCTAGATACAGTCTTATTACCCATACTCAAAGTTCCAAAGTCCCACTGAGTATAGGATGAGAAAAATTCCTTCCTTGATGTCACATGAGATGCAGAACCACTATCCACATCCCAGCTTGACTTATCACAAGCAATATTTATCAAATCCGCATCAAGGACTGTGACAAGATCTTCTGTAGTGACGGTGGCCACACGATTTCCATCTTCTTTCTGTTCTTCCTTGTCTCTATTCTCCTTTTTCAAAATCCTGCAGAACTTCTTTGTGTGCCCTTTCTTCCCGCAATGATAGCACTCAATATCTTTAAGTCTGCTTCTGGATTTGCTTTTATTATGTTCTCTATTTTGAGAACCCCGATTCTTGCTTCTCCCCCTAGAGTCAGTTACCAAGACATCTGATGAGGTAGACCCCTAAGATTTTCTTCTGATCTCTTCATTTAAAAGGCTGCTCTTGGAAAGATCCATAGAGATCACACCATCCGGAGCAGAATTTGATAATGAAGTTCTAAGAATTTCCCAAGAATCTTGTAGGGAACCAAGTAGAAATAGGCCTTGAATTTTTTCATCAAATTTAATGCCCATAGCAGATAACTGTTTCATGATCCCCTGAAAATTATTGTCATGACCCAATTTCTACTAAGGGTCGTGATGGAGCCGGACACCGCTGTCAGGCAAGCCAACCAAAATACTTAATTAAATTCTTATTTTAATAATTTTGAAAACTATGATTTTCCTTCAATTTTACCAGTAAAAGATAATCGTTTCAAATCAAATATAAATGTTAGGAAGTTAATAAAAGATGCCCGATAATCATCCCAGAACCCGGTGTCAAAAGTGCATGAGCATTTACTAAGAAATGGCATAAAAATACAGTAATTGTCCGGAATACAAGTGGACAGAAATGAAAATACAGTACAATACTTCGAAGGAGACTCTGCTGGCTGCGGTCGTCTCGATAAATGCAACTCACCTAAGTCTCCGTATCAACCATGCCACTATGTCACTAAGCCACTAGCCACACATAAACCTGTGCAACAAAAATGTACAGCAAGTGTAGTATGAGTATGGAAACAACGTGTACTTAGCAAGTATCCTGTCTAATCTCGAAGAAGTTGAGACGAGAAGTCGACTTTGACACTTACTAGTGGTCCAATAATAATATAGTAAAAATGTGAGGAAATCATGGA